TTGAAAGAACTCAGCCACTTGATTGCCTTGATCGAAGAAGTTCTGCGAAAGCGAGACCTTTTTAGAGGCATATCTTTATTATACGTAATGGATACATTTAAAGCGCTTACCTTTGGCATTGGTGCTGCTGCTGTCAGCAACAGCGTCAAGCTGCTCCAAATGCAAATAGCGGCAAGACCTCTTTGTAAATACATGGCTCGCCTCGCACTCATTTTGTGGTGTCCCAAGTAAGCAGCCCAGGACCTTTTGCAAGATACTCCTATTTCATTCAATGTGCTGTGAGTGTTCTAAAGCAACTGATGTATGCAACAATTATTTATTAAATTTATGTTCAGTATCTGAGAATATTTTTTTTGTTCGTATTACAATTAAGTGCATTACTGTGCATCTGTCGGTTTCGTGCTTTCGTGTAAACTGCAAACTGCTATCGACTCATCTCTTTGGTGGCTTTTAATTACTGATCTGTAGCTAATGGCCTGATTGCGTCCGACATGCAATAGTTCAAAGAATTAACACATTTGCGCGGTTATTTAATGATTATCAGCCGTGATTTTACCTACATCAAAAAAGCAAACATCCGCTGGTTACATACTATTTGCTGGAATTGTTTTCGCAGTCGAAATGTAAACATTATTGGGTATATGCAATGTTATACATAAAGGGTGTTCGATTTAATTTTCGTTTGACCGAAATAGTGGGTTTTAGTTTTATAGGTCATATCCCATTGTGATGACTAAATAGGTGGTCAGCAAATTGCCTGAGTAGCCGGCAGTCGTCAGTAAACTTTTAAGATCAAACCACTAAACATCCCCGTTGTTGTGTAACTTATACATTTCAAGGCTTCCTCAGCCGCCGGAGGTAGCTTCCTTAATTTCATACACTGACGGCTGATCGATACATATTGGCGCCCGGAAATGGAATTGATGATCTCTGCTAAAAATAAACGTCTAACTATCCGAACTTTATTGCTGCTTCACAGCATAGAGCCTAATGTTCCTCTTCACCACCTGGGCGAATGAGGTCAGACTTCAGCCTCCAACCAGGCTAAATTAAAAATAAATCTATTCTCGCCGAATTTCGTAAGGCGAACTTCGCGTCGCAATCTCATATACTACAGTGTGTTTCAATTTTGACCACGAACTTTCTTCCGACGCAGTTCGCTCAGCGATTTAATTCTGTTTATACTTTAAAATTAAAAAATAGTAATACAAATTTGGAAAAATATGGAATAAAATTATTAATCCGAGAGAGGGATTTAAAGTTCTTTTCTATATGATAAATGAATGCTCCTTAAAAACAAAAAAAAAAAATATTATCTTACCAATTTAAAGAAGAAGAGTAGTATATGGCGACTATGATTTCAAACACAAACAACGAATTTTGTATATTTCTAACTCGTTGGTCTGATGGAGTCGATTGTGTGAAGCCTTTCGCAGATCTGAAGGCATCCCTTGAGCTATTTATACAGGGTGTGCTAGACTACCTATCCACCTCCTTTAAAAGGGAGGGAAACGTTTTTTATTGAATAGCGCAAAAATATTACCTACCAAATCAGAGATGCTCTATCTTTTGGTGGTATTGCCGATTTGCAGTTTCGCCCGCAAGTGGATTAAACTGACTGGAAGTCCATTTTTTTTTTCTAATTAAACAGACATATTTTTGCTACAGATGCGATTTCTGAGGATAAAAATACGCAACTTTTGTTTGAAACTTTTTTCTCGGAAGTACCTGTTTTAAGCTCTAAATTACCGTCGAACTTCAACTCGTCCTGAACTTCTAAAATGGACGAAAATTTTCTTACTGAAAAAGTTTACCATAAAAGTTATGTATTTCTGTCCAATGAATCCAAATTTGTGGTAAGAACCTGTGTGTCCTATTTAAGAAAATGGACTTCTGGTCGATTTAACCCGCATCCGGACGAAACTGGAAGTCGGTAATAGTACTAAAAGATAAAGCATTTTCGTCCATTGAACACAACAAGGCACACGCCACAAATCGGAGGAGAAGCTCGGCGAAGCGCAAACATATTGTGTAAGCGCCAATCCATTATTATTATTATATATTTTTTTATCAGGAATATGCAGTAGAATGAAACAATCCACGTTGCCTTAATTGGCACTGAGATTACAAGGTTATTGCCAAAAATGTGTAAATTTTTATAAATCCTAAGTATGGCCATATGCCTTGCAGTTGACTTTATAGAAGCACTTTAAAAAATAATAAAAATAAAACAAGAGTTCAAATGTCTCGCAAGCAAAGCGTAGAACTTTGCTTTTTATTTCTATTTCTGTTTTGTTACATAAATATTTAAAACAAATAAAAATCCGCTTAAAAGTCTGCTCAAAATCATAAGTTTCGTAGAAAATAGACAAACAAAAAGCTCTTCAACAACATTCATACAATACATACATATGTATGTATGCACACACCCATAACAATTCCACCAAAGAGATGTATACGTCCGAGGTGAGCCCTCGAAAGTACCAGCTTTTAAGTTGAATGTCCTTTGACATTTGCCACTTATTCTTTTTTACGCATATTTAATATGAAAACTTTATATTAATCATTTGTTTTTTCTCCCATCTCTCGTTGCAGTATTCCAACGCCGCTGACAACCAGTCGCCCTACCAACAGGCGCTGCAATATTCACAGTCGTCTTACCCATACACCCCCCAGTACTCGACGACTCAGTCAACAACACCCGCCTACGCTGGCCAACAGCTCGCCCAACAGCATTACGCCCAAACATTGCAGCAAATCCAGCAGCAACAGCAACTGCAAAACCAATTGGAACAACAACAATTGCTGCAGCAACAACAGCAGCAGCCGCAGCCGCAGCCGCATCGCTACTCGGCGCCGAAGTCTGCACAGCCAAATCAGGTCGATCAACTGCAAGCCGCTTACCTTGCTTACCAGCAACAGCAACAACAACAACAATTACAGCAGCAACAAATACAGCAGCAGCAGCAGCAGCCGCAACAACAACAACAACAATATGTTAGCCAGCAAGAATACCAACAACAGCTGCTGCGTCAACTGTACAGCGAACATCGCCCAACGGCAGCCGCCTTCACTGCTGGCGGCAATCAACAGAACAGCCCCATTTACACCACCTCCGACTATGCCAACTACATGCAACAACAACAACGATTGGCTGAACGGCAATTCGGCTCGGCGCCAACTGCTGCCACCATCACTGCCAACAATGGCTTTTCCACAACGCCCATCTCGCCCACCATCGACAGCGCCAGCAGCACAACCGAAAAGTTGCTGGGCGTGCAGTACTCGCCATCGGACAAAGTGTCGCATGTGAAATTCTCCAGCGGCAATCTGCAGTATAACTTCTAAAGGGCGCATTAGTGACATATGCGGTTTTTTTGTGTGGATGTAGGCAGATATTATTGGTACGCTGGATGACGGATTGATGTGTGTGCGGTGTGTGAACATCCGACATCCGAGGCATACATACATGCAAACCAAAACTTTGGTCAAGTACATATATTCCTAAAAATTTGGTATCGAATATCATCTCTCCAGTCTGTCTGCGAGAGTAAATTATTTAAATCATTGTGAGCCAAAAAAAAAAAAAAAACCATTTATTCACGGAAAATTTTCGTATATAGAGCAACAGTCATCTAAATTTAAGTTATCCTTCTTTTTTCAAATTTAATTTATTCGATTAGCTAAAAAATTTTGCAATACATGGTTGGAAAATCTTCGACTGTTGGAAAAATTCCTTTAATAAAGTAACATATTTATGCGCGTGCGAGTATGTGTGTAATTAAAAAAACCAACTTCGAGAGTTATTTCTTGCTAATGTATTCAAAAATATTTCAGCAGACCCGGCGCACTTCGTACCGCCCTAAATTAAAATTTTTTATTGAAATATTTTGGTCCAACATTTTAACCACCAATTCACGTTCACGATTTCCAGTGGCACATTTCAAAAGGCATATT